TAATGCTTCCAGTCCATGAGCGAGTAAACGCTTCGGTATCTTTAGGACAAGAGGTAATGGCTCTAAGTTGCACCAGGGGAGGTTCAGGTTGGATATTATCTCTTCTCCAAAAGAGCAGTGATGTGGTGGTGCTGGCTGCCCAGGGGCTGGTGGAGTCACTGTCCCTGGAGATGAGCAGGAACCGTGTGGATGTGGCACTGAGGGACGTGATCAGTGGGCATAGTGGGGGTGGGTCGATGGTTGGACTTGGTGATCTTAGAGGTCTTTTCAGCCTTGGTGACTATGATTTTGTGATCTGGGTGTGCTCCTGCTCTGTATCTGCTATGGGCTGGAGCAACAGGCTTCTGCTGCAGAAACACCTCACCATGGCCCTTCTTCTCCTCTCTTTGTGTAACATCCTCTGGGATGTGGGAGCAAGTCTGCCTCATCTGGTGTATGCATCAAAAGTGCAATCAGCTGAAGGACACCTCTGAATTCCTTAAGTGCTTTTGTATCAGCCTGTATTTGCTGCTGCGTGGTCTCCTTGGCTGGGACTGATCCTGCAAAGCAGCTTGGAGAGCATGTGGCCCAGCCTGTGGCACCTCACTGCCCCCTAAAAACATTTTTCTGTCATTTCTGTGGCTCCCTTCAGTGCTGTGTAACTCTTTCTCATGGGTGTGTGTCCTTCCGATCTGTTTCAGCAACCGGCTTATGCGTTCAGCTTTTGTACCAGGGTGGGGTTTTTATGTTTCTAATAACGTTGCCTTAGGCAGAGATGTGCAGGATCTCCTCTGGGAAATTTCCAGTGATGATCTGACCACTTTGTTTTCTTTGTTTGGTGGTGCCCCTTGGACACCTACTATATGCCCAGAAGGAATCTTCTTCACGAATCCCTACTACCACAGCGTCACCAAATACGCAGCAGCACAGGAACACAAAAACCTGCTTTCCTTTATAGCTCTACAGACCCCAAGCATTGGCCTTGCACCAGAATCCTGGTAAGCCACTTAGCCAGTCGTCCTTAGTTTTTCCTTTGTTCACTGTAGGTTCATTGTGCTGCAGTCTGGCAGGACTGCTAGGAATGCTGTGTGTTCAGTGTCTGTACAGTGCCCTGCCTGTGACTGAGGTCACCTGAGGACCAGCTGTGCAGAGTTTGGCCGTGCTTCCCACTTTCCTTTCCTCATCAAGTTGAGAAAAACCCCAAAGTTGTCATGTGCACACGGTGCTCGTGGTCACAGATAAGGGCTTGGTTGTTGGTGGTGTTTGAGTCATGACTTTTCTTTACCTTTTTAGCTCTGCTGCTACACTAATAAGAATTCAGAGAGAATAAATTGGAAACCATGACCTTGTAACACTATCTTGAAAACAGTATTTCCACTTTCCAGGAATTGCACCTTGTGTTCATTCTTCTGTTTGCTGAAACTTGCAAACCCTTCAAGTTCTGTGTTCAGGTGTTTCTTTTTTTAAGCTATGAGGCTTTGAAACTGTTCTGACGTTTGAGTTTCACAAGTAATTATCAGTCTCCAGGAATAGAATTTTAAAATAAAGAGCCAGCTGTTACAAGAATTGGATTCAAATTGGAGGATTGACAGTGCCAGCATGGGCAGGTGACATGCCTTGCCCAGGGCTGTATAGCACATTGAGTCAGGATTAAGATTCATCTTGCAATTTCCCAGCTGAAGGTCTTGCCTGGCAGATCCAGCTGATTTTCTGGCCCCACTTTGCGCAAGGCAAACTACAGTTTATGCCTAGAGAGGTTAAAATATGCACATAAAACTGGTCTGAGTTACCTCTGTGTAGAAAGCACCTGGTGTTCCTTATCCTTACTGGCAGTCAAGTTCCTCCTGTGCTTTGTCCAAGATGATCTGTTTGCTTTGCAGGCTCTGCACACCAGGAAGGTTGTCTTCTAGGTGCAAATGAATTTCTGCATGCTGGGCCCCAGCACGCACCGTGACGGGTGGTAGCTGTTGTAATCCACAGATCCTAAGGACTGTCTTTTCTCTCTTGAGCTCTATATCAGGTTTTTTGCACACTTGATATCTGCTCAAATCTGGACTGTGCAGTACCAGAGCTGACTGTGAGGGAAGAGTAAGCTGTAGAATGTGATGTGCAGAGGTGGTTCCCTGCAATTGGAGCTCATTGGTGCTTTTGGGTCTCAAACACTTCCATCTTTTAGTAGATCTCCCAGACCCTGGAAAAGAGTTGTTAGTCTGGGCTGGATGGGCTTTCTTGTGACCCAATGCAGATGTTGTGGTGATGGGAATTAATAGCCTAAAAGATAGACACTACCCTGATCCTAAGATGTGTGTGGAAATGCCTAACTGGTATTGTCTCATTGGCTGTCTTGCCTGCCAGATGGGACCTGGAGAAATGAGTTCTGTGAGGTGAGAGCTGGAGAAATGAGTTCTGACAGGTCTTTGCCACTGGGAGGTGACTTGATTACTTCTCCCTGTGGAACATGGCAGGTTTGGCAGACCAAAAGCATTAGGTGCCTGTACCTGTCTGTCTCTTCTGTCTCCTTCAGTGATACTCTGCATCTTGCTGATAGAGCTGCTTCCCAGCAGTTTGCAGCAACTAACTGTAACTGGGGCAGGTCAGATGAGATCTGCTTCACACCTCTCATCGGCATTTCTACTGTGCAATGCCCCATCCATGGGGATGGAGATGAACAGCTGGAGACCCTGGGGGAGGAGCCCATCAGAGAGCTGCCATGTGTTTTGCTTGCTGAGGCTGTCTCATGTTTGCAACTTTGTTCTTCTATGAGTGCCATCTTGCCACTGAGAGCCACATCTGGTTTCGGGCCTCTCCGAGCAGCTTGAACAGGAGACTCTGTGCTCTGAATGTTGAATTAATGGGGTTGGTCTCTTACAAGAGTGAGTCAAATCCTTTCAGATTCTTGTCCACGTCAGGCTCCCAGCTCTTCTAATGAAGAGGATTTTACCATTGCTAATGCTTGGGAGCTACAATTTGGTTGGGCTTTTGATAAAGTGGGGAGGTGCTAGAAGTAGGGATATCATGTTTCCAATTTCAGCTTGCAAATGATTCTGAGGAGGACAGAACATCCTCCTTGTACAACCTGTTGTTTGCTGCAGCAGAGGTGAGAGTCATCATCTATGTGGGTTGCTCTGGCCTTTGAATTACAAGTTGATGAAGCTCGTAGCAAAGAAGTAAGATCTTTACTTCTGAGACACATCAGCCCCTCTTACATATCTAGAGGGAAGTTTTAGAAAATGTATCTCTTTGTGCTGTTTCACTTTCTGTTCCTTTTTTTTCTTTTTGTCCTCATTCTTGTCACAGCTCTTGCTTTGAGTGCACTTGTGGAAGAAATGGGTCTGTCAGAAGGGTTCAGCAAGGCGACGTGTGACAGCCAATAAATACAGTTCACTGGTGGGGCTGTCTGACTCACCATCATCACCTGTAATAAAAGATAAAGATATTTGGATCTCTTTTTTTATTTTCTTTCAGGTCTAACTTTACAACTTTGGTTGGACTAGATGATCTTGCAGGTCGTTTCCAACCTTGTGATTCTGTGATTCTGTAACTTTTACTTGAGTATGAGGAGGAAGCTGATGTTCTTTCTGTTTCTTTCTGACTTCTAACATGTACAGATTTGCCATTGGCAGCAATATGGCTGCCCACTAAGTGAGTAGAATCAGGCTTTAGCCTCCACCTTTTGTTCTGTTGGCCCAGTAATACAAGGAAGCTTAAACAGAAGGGTTTATTTGAAGAAAGAGTGAAAGACCTCTATCCACCACCACCTCACCACCTCTTTCTTCCCTCTTTCCCTTACAGTATTCCCCAAAGCATGGGCCCAGCTCTGTGTCTGTTGCTTTCTAGGGGTGACTGCTTGACTAGAAACATATAATAGCACCAACTTACAGGAAATCTGCAGAGTTTCAAACAAATATGTTTTCAAGTGACACTAAACGGATGCTGTGCAGAATTACCCATTTGAAAGGGGGAGTGAAGCATTCTGCTCGTTCTTTGAAGCAGAACAACCCTCTGGCTCACGGACCAGCAGTAATGAATGGAGTCACATAGCACGGCACATAATCACCTTCTCCTTTTGTATTAGTTTCATGCAGGTCTTGCATGTGACATTCTTCCAGGCCGTCGTGTTCTTTATCATCCCAGCGTATTAAGAGTACAAACAGAATTAAGTTGCTTGTTATCATGGCATCTGCACATGGCTTTTAATTTCTTGGTGATTTCAAAAACAAAAGGAGCCAAGCTCTCTTGGCTAGTGCTGTGTTTAAATCTGCTCGCAGCCTGCTTGCACAGCTCACTTCTGCCCTGCAATGCAGAGCAGGGATCTGCAAGAGGAGAAGCTCAAAGCAGTGCAGCGAGGCTTAGAAATGTGGCGCTGGTGCTGAAGAAAAGCTGTCTGGAGCGCGTTAAGTGGGAGCAGTAAGTCGGAAGGTGGGTTGGCGTGGGGATGTGCTGTGTGCATCTTTACAGCCCCAGGACTGTGCTTATTAGAGGGCTGCTTAGCCCTTTTGTGTTGGGTACTTGTAAATAATGGGAATTATTTTCTTTGGCATCTGAAATGTCTCTGTAATTGTGTGGTTTCCTTCCTACAAATGTGAACGTTTCAGATTAAAATTCTGCTTGGCAGCTTTTGAACTCTCAAAGCAGAGGCAAAAGGGGCAGGAGTGCCCAGCTTATTAGTTTTTTTCCATCTTATATCCCAGTGTAGGAATATTCTGACCTTTTTTGTGCACGTGCTGTAATAACATGAAATAGGATGGAATTAGTATTTGGGAAGTGTTCACGGGAAAACATCAGAAGTGGATGGTCAGCTGTAGGTCTGGGCAGGAGAGGGCTGAGAGAGGCATTCCTGTTCCTCTTTCCTCCATCTCAGGCACAGATCCTCCTCGCTGCTCATTACTGCCTCTGTCCTGGCCTGCAATTGTGGTACACATCTGGTTCTTTCAGACCAGCATGGTGTGTAACTAGATGGTGCATGGGTCAGAAGCAGAGGGTCGTGTTTGACTGTGGTTTCTCTCTTTCCTGCCCCACAGCTCTTCCATTTTCCCCTGCCCTGGGGCGAAGGACATTGAAAAGATGGAGAACCAGAGGAGATCTCTCCTGGGATGCGTCCACTGGGAAGCAGAAGAGGAGGGGGACGAGGAAGATGAAGTGGCTTCTGGTGCTTCTCCTTCCAGCCAAATGAGCGAATTGGAGGACGTGCAGGTGGAGATGCTTGAAAAGGCGAGGGAACTCTTCCAGCTCTGTGACAAGGATGAGAAGGGCTTTATCACCAAGTTGGACATGCAGGTGAGAGAGGAGCTGTGAATTCACGAGTGGCAGGAAAGAGGAGAATGTGGCACGTCTTACCTTTGGCAAGGTGCATGCACACTCACCTGTCTCGTTCAGATTTCAGGGAGCTGGGCTCTGCTCAACCAGCTGATCCAGGAAGGGCCTTGGGCCTCTTGGGAGTCCCTGGGACAAGTGGGACTGCAAATCCAAATTTTTAAGGAAAATAATAATAAATAAATAAATAGATAAAAAGCAACAGTTTGTACAAACGTTAAGCATGCAATGGATGGGAAATCTGGGGGAGAAAAATCTTTTGTTTATTTTAAAAACAAAATAACACAACTATAAACAGGAACAAGAAGTCTCAGTCTTCAGAAAAAGGCTGTGTAACTTCATTTTGTCTCGGTCATAGCTGAGGTCTTGTCACAAAAGAAGTATGTTAGACCTGAACTATGACTTTGCATTGGCACAATGTGTTTTTTTTTTAATTTTTGTTTGTTAACAGAATCTCTTTCACTGTTCTTTTTGCTTTAGTGGTTTATCAGGAAGATTACATGTGTAGTGTTTTCCTCCTTTCCCATCTCTTTCTCCATCTGTAGTTAATATTTGGCAGGTCTTGCTGAGTAAACAAGTGCTGGCTTAGTTGCTGACTCACTTTGTTTTGTGATGCCTAAGTTTGTATACCTATGTTAATAAATATTTATTAAGCTTTATCTAAATCTATGTTTTTAATGGACAGTGATGGGTTTTTTTCCTGTACTTTGAGTTATTTGGAAATTTCTTTGGGAAAACTTTTACACCAGGTGCTCCACACACGTAATCCAAAGGCAAATCTCTGTTGCTTAACTGTAGTGGAATAACAATGCAGTCCTAGCAGACAGACAGAAGTTCTCTCTCTGCATTCCTGGTTGAATCATTTGTTAACTGAAAACCTTATCAGTGTGCTCAAACAGAGTGTACTGTCATACTGTCTCATCCTAACCAAGAGGCAGTGCTGAAAGGGCACAGCACCATAGGCCAAGGCTGGAAACAGCCGAGGCAGCAGTCACAGGAAAAACTTTGAGTCATGCTTTCATCATGTTCATTCTTTTTTGTCTGCAGAGGCTTCAGAGTGAGCTCCCCCTAACCCTTGAGCAGCTGGAGACTGTTTTTGACAGCTTGGAACAGAATAATAATGGTTACCTGACACCTGTGGAGTTCAGCATGGGACTAGGTAAGGACTGTACAGAGGTAGAGGAAGGACAAACTCTTTTATTGGAGATTGCACATACTACGTCGTCTTGTCAGAGTGCACAGGGGGGAGATGAAGAGAAGGAGCTCAAGCTGGGAACTGTGCTGCTGTCAGCTCTGCTTCTTGAGAGGGCTCGTTGCATGGCCCCTGACAGGTTACAGGAGGCTTCTCCACAACTGACAAAAAGAGCAGCAATTTTAAATGTTCAATTTAAAGCAATCTAACATCCTTCCAGAGTGTCAAAACAATCTTAGCAGCATTCTCTACCCCAATTTTCCGAGCTGCAGGAGGCAGATTATAAGAGGTAATGACTCTTTATTTAAAGTAGACATCCCAAGTGCCCCGTCTAAGCCCATTTCCTTAATTAACTGCTCAAGGTTTTAAGCTGGAGTTAGTCCTGCCTGACCACACTGAAGGTTTTTTATAGCACACATTTTAAGAGCTGAAATGAAGCTGTTCTGCATCCATCCATATTACTTCCAGTATGGAGATAAATCTCATGTTTTATGCTGAATTGAGTGGGCAGGTTTCTAGCAGATGCCAAGGATGCAGGGGGATTGTAATCACCTGGGAGGAAGAGGAGCAGTGAGGTAAACTGCCTTGTGTTGGACACTGTCTGAGCGTGAAAGGATGACAGGAAGAAAAAAGAAGCTTGCATTTAAACCTTAGCATTTTTTACAGTCTTGCATGTAGTTAATGGAAAGGAAGACATTTAGAGGCAAGAAACAGTAGAATTGAGTGACGTGAGGTACACAGATTTTGAATATTTTCCTCTTAGAGCAGCTCTGAACATTTCTGGTTGCTGGCCCTGTGGCTGGGATGTCACTTCTGCTTGGTTATAGAGGTATACACGTTTTGGAATGGGAAGGTGGCTGCTGGTGAAGGTCTGACCTCAGTGTACAGGATGGGGCCTGAGCTTTGGGCAGAATTCCTTGATTTGTTTCTTTTAAGAATTTGTTCCTAACAACAGTATCCGTCACATGCCTTGCATAGCAGGAATTCTCATGGCGTTACTATTGTGGCATGAAACAGAATTTGGGAAGCTGGAACTGGTACGTCTGTGGGATGGGGCTGGAGGGCTGTTCAGAGGATAAGTTTGTTTTGTTCAGACGCTCCACAGTCCCAGCAAGAGGCAGTCTGTCCTGTAGCATGTAAATCAGAGCAGATGTAGCATCCTGGAAGGGAAGAGAAGGGTAATGATCTCCCTGATACTTTTTTGTGAACTGAGAAACTGAGGCGTGAAGCTGTTCAGTGCCTGGCTTGCAATCTTAGAGGGGGTTTGTGGCATCGTTGGCAACTGAATCCTCATAGCATGGCTCCACAGGAGCGGAATGACCAAACGCCACGTTTCACATACAGAGGATCCAAGGCTGGGAGTGGTATGTCATTTTAGCACAGATGTGAGCAGAGCCATTACAGCTTGTTGTCAGGCTGGAAGCCAGTTTCAGTCCCAGCATTGCAGACTGGACACTGACATCACTCAGCACGTCAGAACTGAGGCTCTTTACTGACTAGGAGCTGTATTGTACAACAGTAGAGTGCAGGCAGCTTCTCACAGAGCAGTGACATCCAGTTTGACTTTTTTCTCCTTCTTCCCTTCCTCAGGAAAGTTAATAGGAATCGACTTGTGTCAAGAGGCTGGAAGGACAGATCGCTCCAGTCACGAGGAGACCTTTGAGTCAGGTTGGTCAGATGACATGGACCCAGCAGACGATGAAGAGAAACGATTCTGCTCCATGATGGAGCAGCTTGGAGCAGCCCAGGTGTTTGAAGAGTAAGTAGGGGTGTCTTGTGGCCTTACCTCTACCTTGTTTTGATCTTGCAGTACCAAAACTTGAAAGTACCAGCAAACATCCAGGAGGTGAACTGAGCTGCTTGCTCCTGAAGTACTGCTTAGTTCTTCCTTGGTTTGTTGTTTTTTTTCTTTGTTGCTGGTGTTTTTTTTTTTTTTTTTTTTTTTTTTTTTATTTTGTATGCTTGTTGTTAACAAATGTAATGAAGTCTGGGTTGTCTCATCAGTTATAAGTTACCTTCAGTGCAATGCTTTTCACAAATTGTTTCCCATACTTTAAGTTCATACCACAGCTGTAAGATGTAGCAATTGATGTGGAAACTCATCTGCATGCGACAGATGAAAAGAAGCATGTGAGGGTTAGACAAGGTAAGGAGGATGTGTGTTCTGTCTGTTCCAAGAGGTCCTGTGAGCGTTCACATATGTTTGGAAAATCTTAACTCTAAGATTCTGCCTGAAAGATGTGTGCTCAAGGGATTGTGGGGGACTGAGCTGATCTTGAAAACAGTTAAGAAGCTGAAATGAGCAGATGCTCACCAGAGCTTTGGAATTTGGTATCAATACCCTCACTTGTGGCCTCAGTAGAATTTACAGACTCACTGTCATCCAGCTGCTAGCCTGTAGATTTTTTTAGGGCCTTACCAAGTGAAGCATTTTCTGTGGTTGCTTCTTACTGATGCAAATGTGTTGGAGCTGGGGTGGTCCCACAGTCTGTGTGGCAATGGGGTTTTGTTGGTGGTGGTATTTTCTTTTTTTTTTTCTCCAGGCTTCATAGCACAGCAGTTGGCACCAGTTTGCTGGGAGCAGCTCTGCTCCAAGCAGGGGTTGGAAACAGGATTGGAGACAGAAGCTGAGAGCCAAGGACTTTGCTGTTTGCAGAGCTGCATCTGTCATGAAACAGATTGTGCTGTCTCACATGCACTGTGATGCAAAGCACCTGCGTGCTTCTTTTAATGCTGAACAACTTTGGAAGAAAAATTGAATGCTGCAAATGATGGAGTGACACTGTGAAAGCCATACAATTGTTTTGGCTAAGTAGCCTGTGCTGTTTACAACAATTTGTGAAGCATCCGGTCTTTAAGTTAGTTAAGTCTCATCCTCATTTTGACAGTTCTATACAATGAGTTCAGAGGTTGCTGTCATGCCTTTGTGCTGAGGCAGCTGTTATAAAGAATTAACAGGAAACAGAAGCTAATGAGAGGGGGAGAAGGAATCTGATCTTCACTGTTTTGCGACTGAATCTGATCTTGACTGTTACATTATCCATAATGTAACACCATGAAAAATTTGCTCCTTTAGTTTGTGACTTAGTTTCCAAACTTGCTAGATGAACAGACAGAGAATGGCAGTAGCATCCACTTGTACTGCCGTGGTGTGAGAGTGACACCTGTGTGATATGTGCCAAAATCCCTGGGCTGTGGGAGTTTCCTGAACGTTCATCTCTTCCAATCTTGGTTTAGACACCAAATGTATTATTACTGAATACTTGGAAAATAATTGTTCCAGATTTGCTTCCTAGGTGACTTTTTGTCTTTCAGATGACCTCCTCCATTTTAACCTCGCAATTTATTTTAACCTCTTTGCTGTATGGTGTACAGGAGGAGGTGACAGGACAAGGGCAGTCTGCCCACCCCCGAATGCATGCTGGAATTAGAGTAACAATCCAGGAGATGACACAAACTCGTTTGCTTTCTTTCTCTCCTGTATGCTTGCTCCAGTCCTAGCGAGGTTCGAGATCTTTGGGCCCGGCTACGAAAGGAGCGGCCGGAGCTCTTGGCCAATTTTGAGGAGTTTCTGCTGCGTGTTTCCTCGTACATCAGGGAGGTGAATCATGAAAAGGAGTCTATGGAGCGGGCATTGAAGCGGTAAGGAGAACATCGTTGCTACTTACTGTCTGGAAATGGCTGATATTTGGATGAAATTACAAGTGTTATATTCTGCCTCAGTATATATGCTTTATATTCTGCCTCGATTGTCAGGAGAGGCTGGGTTACAGGACATTGAGATTTTTCTTGCTGTAATGAAATGACTGTTTATCTTGACCTGATTGCCAGAGGTTTGTTTTGTAGCAGTACACACCCATAACATTTGATCTGGTGAAAAAACCAAGTGAAGTAACTTTCTGGCAATGCCACGCAGCTCTTAGTAGGACTCTCTTTGCACTCTTCTCTCCTGTTTTCTGCATTCTCTTTCTCTCTTGTGATATGTGTGCACCTTTTCTTTCGTAGAAAGGAGACGGACCATGACCGGGAAGTCAGATGCCTTTATGAAGAAATGGAGCAACAGATCAAAGCAGAAAGGGAGAGGCTAATCTGCCAGGTACCTCATCTCTTTTGGCTGAAGTCAAACTTTCTGTGGTCTGAGCCAGGGAGGGTGGCTCATCCGGTTAAGGAGCATCTCTTAACTGTGCTGGGCGTGCATAGCTGTCTCCATCTTTGCAGGAAGCACTGAAACACAACAGGAGTAACGTGCTCCAAAAGGAACTGCGCAGCAAAGAGCAAGAGCTGGAGAAAATCCTCTATCGACAAAAGAAGGTAACAGAGCCCAAAGCCTTTCTAAAGTGCGCCGCCTTCTACCGTATTTCTATAAAGACCTTTCCTGGATGGGGGTGGCTTTCGTCTGCTGACAGTATGAGCCAGCCTAATTTTGCTCATCTCTGAAGGTGTTGAAGTGGGTTAGTTTGGCTGCAACAGCAATGTCTCCCTGTGAACATCTTGGCCCTTGTTTTCTCATCTGCTTTGGTTTCTCTTGCATAATACCTTAATTTGGCAAGGAAAATGAGGTAAAGATTTGGAAGTTGTGAATTTGGCGCCTTTTGTGGTGTGTAGGAAAGCTGTGTATAGATATGCAAGAGCCAAATAGTTTTTTTTCTGGCTGCTCCAAAATAACCCAGAGGGAACAGTTCCCTGAAGCTTTGAGCTGCATGTACTGCATGCTTGCATTTCAGTACCTAATGACATATTGATTAATCAATCAATAAAAAGATCAAAGCAGAAATTTTCCATTGGCTTGTCAGTCCCAGGCATGGGCATTTGTACATGGTAGTCCAGTTTGGATGTCTTTCCCTTCTTCTCTGGAAAACTGGAATGTGTCTGCTGCAGAAAGAAGTCATGGGAGTTACGTGGAAGGTTCTGGTGACTGGAGATATCCAAGTTGGATAGCTAGCTGTGATGAGGGTGAAACAGAAGTTCTCTGAACTCAACAGCTCGTTGTACAGCAGCTGGAAAAGCTGATAAAACTTCAGATGCCATGAGGAATGGTAATGAGAATAAGATAGAGGGTGTCATTGTCTTAATTGGTTTGTAGTTATGGTCTGCTCTAACTCCAGTGTGAGAAATAAAGGTTCAGGTTGCTGATATAATAAAGGGAATAGTGCATTTGCTTTAGGAAGAGAAACTAGGAAAGCCTAACCCTAATTTTGGAATGGAGGAGACTGAGGGAAGTTATACCAGAGCTTTACAGATTGAGGATGGTTGTGGATAAGGTCCCCATGCAATTGTTATTCCTCAAATCCTGCAACAGCACAGACGAAGGACACTCAACAAGACAAGTAGAAGGCTGATCTCAAAGATTGTACTTCTGTGGATTAATAAATAGAAATAATAGAAATTTTGCCACAGAAGGTTGTGAACTTCAAGAACAGATTGGACAAACTGATGGGCAGCAGGCTCATAAACACACTGAAAGGGAGAAAAGTCAGGGATACAGATTCCATCATCTTTAGTCTATGAACTATCGATGCTGGGGGTGTAGAGCATAGTGGCTATCTATGCATGCTCTTCCTAATTAGCATCTCTTCTTGCTGTGGGTCGGGGCAGTGTGTGGACACTCTTACTCAGCTGAGCTTTTCTGATGTCTTTATCTTGGAGGCTTGTACCAAGTTACACGGGCAGCTTGGTCCCTCTTGTGGTGGAAGTCCAATATTGTGATTGTGCTACTCTGCAGAATCAGTGTACAGACAGCATAAAACCAGAGTTCTTTGTGATTTTGAGAATTCTCAGGGAGGGGCACATGCTTTATTTAAATCCCATCCCCTGGCTTATTGAAAGATCCAGAGGCTGTGGGCTGCTGTTACTGTTTCTTACTCTGAACTTGTCTGCTCAACATATGCGGTTGTGCTAAGATTTTCCATGATGTCCAAAGGACTGGAACTCTCGAGCCAAAGCTGAGCATGACATGTACTTGTAGTTGCAGTGGGAAGAAATGTAGGGCTTTGATGTTTCAAGGAACCTGAGAAAGGTGAGCTCTATTCATGACTTGTACACGTGTTTTTGCAGAGAGCAGAGCAGGAAAGAGAAAAGCACTTCACCTTGTGTCACAGCGTGTTTCTTTTACTTTCCCTTTGAGGGTCTACTTGAAGGAGCAGAAAAGGTGTGCTTAAAGCATGCTTGGCTTTCACAGGGGTACCTGTCCCTTGGTGAGATCTCTTCTCCCTGTGCCCTTACCTAACATTCTCTCTGTGCACTTCAGAAGTTGTCGCACAGGGTATTTGAAGAGCTAAACACGCTTGTATATGCAGAACTTCTGGGAACAAACAGTACATTCAGCTCAAGGGACTGTGACTGTGGAAAATGAGTTTGGATTGTGTGTACTCCCATTTCTTTGTAGTACCAAATTCAGCAGGGAGCCTTGGTTAGCAAATGTGGTTGACTGGATACTGAAATATCAGTGTGATCCTTCCAGTGACGCCCTACTTGACTGAGACAAGTGAATTTGACTGATGCGTCTGTCTTTGTCTCTTTCCCAGTCTATGCCAGACATTTGCAAATGATCACGTTGCTAGCTGAGTACAGGGAGCAACTTCAAACTTTTGAAGTTAGGCCTGTTATTCGTGCTGGTGTCTTGTGGGAAGCTGTGCCCCAGCAGCATTTAAACAACCCCTCTAGCCCGAATCTCTATCTTCAACACGAGTGAAGATCACCAGGTCACTTAATTCTCTGTGTATGAGTAGTGTGACATACCCCAACGCCTTGATGCATCCCTTTTTCAGCTGCCATGGGCTCAGGAAGTCCCTAAACCCGAGGATGCATTTTAACATCTGTGCTTAATAACTCCCAACAGACATAGCCCTGCTTCCACCCAAATTTTTGCCGTCCGCCTATGACCTTCGTTTGCACTCAGATTTCTACTCTGCCTGAAGCACTTCCTCAGCCTAACAGCATTGCTTGTTCCTTGGTGTTAGCGCTGATGAGAAATAATTGCTTCCAGTTCACCTTCTTGATACCTTTGGTGGTCTTGTGGACCTAAGCTGTGTTTTCCTCCCTTCTTTCAGACTGTTTTTATACATGATTGTAGCTCAGAACCCTTTCTATTTAACTCCTCCTCTCCCTTTGCAGCTGGAACATCAGCTGCAGTCTCTGAACTCAGAGCAGCTGGAGACCCGTGTGCAGAATGAAAAGCTCCGGCACCTGAATGAAAACCTACTGGAGGAGCTGGAGAAAAGCAAATGGGAGCTAGAGGCTGTCAAGGGACAACTGCAGAAGCTGCAGAAAGAGGCCCAGAATGAGCAAGAGCAGAAGGACAGGTGGGAATGGAAAGGGAAGCAGCTGTGTGGGCTGTCAGAGCAGGGACCCAGGCAGAGAAGGACAGGTGTGCAAGTAGTTAAAGAATAAGATTCTTTAATTAGAAGCTGTGGTCTTATCAGACAACTGCCCATCTCCTCTTGAGGAAGAGAAGTAACACTGCAGTGGTGGTGTTGGTATAAACAGGCAGTGTTACTGCTACCTCTCACCTGCCAGTAGTGAGAAATGAGTATGTTCATTGACAGTTGGCTTTAAAATTACTGTAAAAATTACAGACGTTCCTCAGCCGAGAGCTGTCCTCCTTCTAATTTCCAGTTCATCAGTGCCTCTGTAAAGTTCCTACAAATTCTATGCTAATCACGTGTTCCTGTTTATGAGCTTAATCTAGTAATACATTGCTGCAATGAGGGGATGTTTCAGTTCCAGATGACAGAGAGCATCCTTCCCATCTCTAGCAGTTGAGGAAACAGACATGTGAAAGTGGAAAGTGAATTGTCTGCCCTCATGCCAGAGGAGAGCTGGAGAGCTGGGGTAAAACTCAGGCATCCCAGCTCCCATGGCAATGCTCCTTCCTCTGAGTCCTCCTGGAAGACCTTCAGCTTTGTGAATATTGTGGGTGTTCCTGAGAAGGGGATCTTTGCATTTTGTCTCCTATTGATTTATTCCCTCCTCACCTAGGGATGTGTTCAGAGTCTCCAAAAACATGCAGAAAGAGAAACAAAGCCTCCTTCGGCAGCTGGAGCTCCTCAGGTAGGAACAGGCCTGGGGCTGATGTCAAACCCTTGGGCACAGAAGGGACAGACTTGGACCAGATCCTGCTTCTTGCTGGAAGCCATCTGAATGGCCAACGTGGTCAATGGTCAGTTTGGGGGTAGAAGTGGAGAGTTGGCCTTTCTAGTGAAGCTCGTTCCCTGCTTCATTGGCAGTGCTCTGGTGTCAGTGCTGTGGGAGTGCATTCAAGGAGCACTCACACACTGCTTATTTTTCTAGGCCCGGATAGACTTGTGCAATTTGGTCAGCTCCAGCAGGGTACAGGCTGTTCTGTGTTACTGAATAATTCCTCCAGGGGAGGAATTTAGTCTTCCCTGCTGCCTGTTAACTGAACTGGGATACATGGAAATCTCAATATAACCAACACTACCGAGTATCTTCATTTGTGCCCCTAGCTGCCTTTCCATCTAGCTTTCAAATGTTGGTCTTTTATCCCATTTTCAATGAGGGCTTTGTTTTTTCTTTCCTCTGTTTTTTTTTTTTTTTGGAGCAGAGAGATGAACAAGAAGCTTCGAGATGAGCGTGACACTTTTGAAGCCAAGAAGCCGGTTAGTCTAAGAAAGAAAATCCTAATTCCCAACCACCCTCCTTTCATCTGCTGCTGTTGCTGTCACCACTTGGGGGCATCTCACATCCACGGGGGACAATGACCTGACCTCACAAGGCCTGGTGTGGTGCTTAAAACAGACTTTGTGGCACCGCTCTGCCCGTGCCAGAGACAAGCTCTGCTGGTTGTTCTTGCCAGCTTGCTGGTTGTTCTTGCCAGCTTCCTGGCTGTAACCCAAGGCGTGTTAGTTTGGGACTGCAATGCAGCTGTGTGCAGGGCTGCAGTGGGTGCTGCCTGCTGCACGCGCTGGGCTTGTGCTCTTTAGCCAATACTGGGCACCTGCAAGGCAGGAAGCAAAGCTGCACAAGTCCTGACGGCTGGTGAGGAAGATGAATTCCCAGATGTGCTGTCAGCTGAGTTGGGGTGGTGGGACATGGGAGAGTTTGAGAGTTTCTCTGACCCCTTGAGCTTGTAGAAGATGTTTTCAGGTATTCCTTGGGGGCAGCTCCTCATTCCTGCAGGGAGGGTGCAGCAGTGAGGCATCGTTCAGAAGGCTAGGGGAAAGCAGTGGGCCCCTGTGCAATAAGGGCCCTTGGGGAGCATCCAGGACAGTCAGTACCATTTTTGGCCTTTCCTAGCTTCCAAGGCAAGTACAGATATGTGATCTTTTTTTTTTCAGTTCTTCTTATTTTTTCATGAAAAAGTCTTTTTGTTCACAAAAGTCACTGTTAAAGCTGCTCTGTACCTGTCTTGGACTCATCCCTGCTACCACGTGCCTTTACTGGCTCTGCCACCATGCTCTCCTTGCAGATCTGGAATTAGCTGTCCTGCAGTGATGACAGGCAGCAGTAGGCTGGGACAGACCTTCTATAGCTGGTTTGTAAGGGAACACAAAAGGAAGTGCAGGGAAGGTGCCCAAAAAGGAGACAAAGTACCCTACAACAGAGGAGAAGCTACTGGAGAGAGGCTGGAATTCATCTTCAAGCAGAGAAGTGGCTGTAGGAAATAGCTTCCATAAGTGTTATGGATAAAGATGAGGTACGTGTGCATGCACTTGTGTGGCTGTGTTTCTGAAAACAGAAAGATGATTTTTTTTTCTTTTTTGAAGCTGCTGTATGTGTGTGTTTGTGCATGCACATGTGCTGGAGCTCCCTCTTGGAAAAGTATAAACACAGTCACTCTCTAACAGAGCCCAGTGGAAGCAGGCAAAGAAAACAGTGCATTCTCCTCTTTCCATGTGCATCATTCAGCATTTGGGTTCCTTTTGGGTGGGTGGGTGTCCCGTGGAGACCATGTTTCAGGTATGTGCCTCTGTGTGCAAATTTAGTCTGCTTCTCCTCTCTTCTCCTTTTCCCCACTAGAACCCACTCATGGCTGCTCTGAAACGTCTGCTGCAGGTGGACCTACAAGAGGGCCTTGCAGAGAGCCGTAGTATAGAGGAGCCACTTTCTCCTTTCTCTTTCCTGTGCTGGCACTAGGGATCAAGCAGCAGGTTGAGCTGCTACCACCTTGCTGATCTGACAGCATAATGTTGGGCAGACGAGGCCTGCACTGGAATAAGATTTTTTTCTTTTGTCAGCTAGGGCATCTCGCTGGCTGTTCTTATTTCAGTCTTTAGGAAAGCTACGTACCTGCAGAAGATCTGCTGTTCATACTGTCCTGCCGTTAGAGGGAGAGGAAATAGCAATCCTTCCTACAGCAGAAAAGAGGAGAGTCCAGCCTTCTGCTCTGTATCCCTAATGGGTAACGTGATGTCTGGCAGACAGTATCAGTGCTTTCACAAGCTGAAAGGAAACCTAAGGCCTTAATATTCTCCATTCATGTTGGGAAGGGTTGTGTTATTTCTGTGAAATGAAGTTGTGACAAACAGTGGTTCTTTCATAGCAAAGACTGAAATGGTTGGAAGGACGAGTTGGGTTGCATGTGGCTGACAGCAAGCCAGCTGCTGCTCCTTTGCACTTCTCAGTGCACAGCTATTGAGCCTTGCTCTTCGTAAGAGCTTCTGGCCTTGCCTAGGTGGGCAGACCTGGCCTCGTGCCATGGGGCACACCTTTGCCCTGGTGGCTCAGTCACACATAGCAACATGTGGCTATTTCTGCTTGCGTGCAAACTGCTTTGGGGTGTTCCATTTTGCACCCATCTGGCTATGGAGTTATCCTCGTGTGCTGCAATTTGATAGAGGTCTTGCCCTGGATGAGCAAATTTCGTGTCTGCTCATTGTGAAGAGTGTTGGGAACTTTGATTACGCTGAACATGTATTTGTATTTCACCGATAAACCAGAAGATGCTTGTATTTTCTGTCCCATCCAAAATGCTTGCATGCATGCTGTTCTTGCTGTGGAATCCTTGTCATTATGTGTTGTACAGCTGCAACGTTATGTCTGTCCCTATACCATCGCTATGAAAAGTCAAACGTTCCATAAACCTGGCAGGCCAATAAAGCGTGGCAGAACCAATGGCAAAATGCACCCCGTTGTTTCTCCTTTATTCCCAGGTATGTACCCTGCAGGCTGCTTCCTCTCTCAGTAGGTGGTGCAGTAGCAGATTGCCTGGGAGTCCCTTTGCTCCATAGGTGGCCTGAAGGTTGCGATTCTGCTGAATATCCAGTGGGCTGTAACATGTTTCCTTGTTTCTGTGGGTCTGGAGTGCCTTTTGAGGGAACCTGCTGGTCTAAGCACAAACTCTGAAAGCTTCTTCTCCCATCTCTGCTAGAGAACCATTGGTTGGCTGGTCCATACGTAGTCCTGATACTGATGTTGACCAAAGGTCACTATGGAGTTGGGGTTCTTTTGTTTTGGAAGATTTGTGGTCCGCAGTTGTGAGCCTCCTACAGCATCTCAGCCCTGGGCAGCACCGTGTGCATCCAGCCAGGTCACTTGCTTGTTGTCTGTATGATGCTTGAGGTGTGTGGCTTTTCCAGCTGGTTTTAAATTGATTCCTTTTCCCATATTCTAGAAATGAAATTGCTGGACAAGGGCTCTGTGAGCTAGATTGCTTCTGTGGCTGAAGCTTTACCAGCTTAATATGTAACATTTTTTTTTCCTTTAAGCTCCCACTCCCAGTTGATCGAGGCCTACTGTGGAATCCAGAGTATCTCTTCTTGGTGGATTGCATTGTGTAAAGCTGTTGTGGGGGTTCTGACCCACAGAGCATCTTCTTAATTTTCTGTCTTTTGAAAGGAAACTGAGGTTATTTAAGAAATAATCTTCATAGTCCTCCCCTGGGCTGTGGGCAGCATGAAGGCAGACCTGTCAGGAGCTGCCTGAAGCTGTTTGGTAGGTTCAGAACTGCTGTTGGAGGCAGTCCTAGAAGGCTGGACTCCTCATTTTTCCCCACCTTTACTCCTAGAAATAACTTGTGTGGACATGTCAGAAATGTTTGGACTTCCAGAGTGAGTACATCTCCCTTCTCCCAGTGCTGGATAGTGGGCACCTTGCCACACTGTCTCTTACTTTGTGTTTTTTGGACGGCAGGAGCAGTTAACCAGCTTGTATGTGAGAGAGGGGACTAGGCTTTGGCATGGATTTAGGAGAGCTAGTGGGTCAGCTGCCACTCTGCCATAGGCTTTTCTGTATGGTCTCAGAAAATTTGTTGTCTTTGAGACAAAGCTGCTGTATCTAGAGGAGCAGTGTTGTGAGGGAGTTGTTGCTCCTTATGCTTCTCTGGGAAGCTGGTAAGCACTGGCTGGAAGAAGTGTGGGGAGGTAAGTAGGAGGAAGGCATGGGGAGGATGTACGTGTAAAGCAGAGCCTGTACATTGCCTGTTGCAGAACAGTCTCCTTTCTTCCCTTTGGTGTATGTGCAGCTATGGGTGAGTACCAGAAGAGGAGAGATTCACTCTGTCTCGCATAACATCATCATAATAAAAAACGGTGGGGAAAGAGTATCAGCTGTGAATCTCAGTAGCAAACAAGCTATAGAAATAAAAGCTGTAAGCTGACAAGAGGAGGGCTACAGTTTGGGTCACCAGCATTATTAAAGGGCTTTGTTGCAAAGGGGAAAGGAGTGTCAGCGGTGCTTTCTTGCATCAGCTAAATGAGCTGAACTGAGAAGAGCAAATCCTGTGCTTGCCTCTGTTTGAGCCTTACTTGTGGGGCTCCAGCCCTGCGCTCTCAATGCAAGTTGAACTGGGGCTGGCCAGATTCCTGGGCCGTATTGACATTCTTCAACCCTTCTCTTTTCAACTTCCAGGCACTTCAGAGCAAAAAGCCCCTCTTGAAGAAAGGGTCAGTGCTAGGCAGTTACCTGCTGGACGACAAGCCGGTCAAACGGTCAGATGGGCATCTGTGTTGTGTCCGTGGTGTCATTCTGTGCCCGCTGGAAAACTGTCAGTCAAACTGTGTCCCTTGTCTGGTTCCACGCCTCAGTACTATCTGTCTGTCTGTGGGAACATGGGGGAGATAAAGCTCGACTTGGCACAAGGTGGTGTGGGCTCAGCATGAAACTAAGGATACTGCTTTTGGTGAGCTTTCCTGTGGTGCTGGCCCTCATCTAGAAATGTCTGTGGGAAAGGAGGCAAGCAGGCTGCCTCTGAGCCAGGCAGTTCTGTTAAAATGCCTGGATCATCTCCTGAATGTGCTGTTCCTCCTCAGGCAGAAACCTTGTCTGTTGGTGCCTCATGCCAGACCTTGTGTCCCTGGGGCATGGGAGAGGGCAGGACTTGCACAAGGCTGGTGTTCTCTCCAGCAGCTGAAAGCCCTGAGGAGAAAGCCCAGCTCCAGGTGGCTCTGTCCTGCCCATCTGCCTCCATACCTCTGCAAATGCTCACCTGACACACCAGGCCTTCTGGCCAGCTGGGACAGACAGCCTTGTCTGTGTGGTCTATGCCTTTTTTTTTGCCAGTCTATGTGCAGACAGTGTGGTGTTCTCAGCAGCCACCTATGCATGCTTACCTTAGCCGTGCTGGCATTAAGCGTTGGCCCTTGTGAACTATGTGCCATGCATGCCTGTATTGGCCAAAAGCCTGTTCCTCAGAGAGGCCAGCTACTGACCAAGCTATCTGTTGCAAAGATGCTGTTAGTGGCTGTTGGCACAAACCAAATAGAATGGCTTAGTAATAAGAGAAGTCTGGCAGGAGAGTATCTGTTGATTCTCTCTCTGTCTCAGTGCTGTCATACCACGTAGCTTGAGTCACATGAATAAGTTGCATTAGAGCTGGGATCACTTCAGAAAGTCTTGTATTTGTATCCCCCTTTTTTTTGTTCTCTTCCCCAAAGAGGCTTTTGAGCTTCAGCCCCTTGTTGCAGCTAATTCTGCTGGCCCTGGGAGATGGGGACTGATCCCCAGAGCCTGAGCCTAGGAGGATGTGTCTGTCTGTGCTGCACAGGGAGAGGTCCCAGCTGGCCAGCTCTGGCCTGGCATGTGGGGCAGGGGCAGGGAGGATGGCCAGGGATGTGAGCGCCGTCTAACAGAAAAAAGTGCAGACTTGGCAGCAGGTGAATCTTGCAGCCTTGGTGCAAGAGTTGTTGCCTTGATTCCTGCTCTGTAGCAAGGGGAAAAATTTGCATAGAGAGGTGGGATTTCTGCCTCTGTGCAGACGAACTGCAGTAAGCCTTTGCTCTCTCCTTCCAAATGGAATCTGGTGGCCAGCAAAAGCGTTGGAGGTCTCTGATGGATAAAACCTTTGAGTTGTGAGTCTTCTCACTCTCTTCTTTAACCACAGAAAGCCAAGGCAGAGCAAAGACAATTCCTTGCTCCTTAGCAATGATCGCAGTTGAATTTGCTATTCTAGCTGTCTTTTGAAGTCCGTTCCTCCACTTACCGTGTACGGCAGCCTTGTTTGTGTGGTCTGCTCGAGCGCCCCGAGCTCGATGCAGTTTGTACACCTGTGGCAGCCAAGACCGTCAGCAGAGGGCAGTAACATGCATGCTTGCTGCATGCGGCGTCCTAAGGGTAATCAGACAGCCCTCACACTCCTTCCTGCAGCAAAAACCTTTTTCACTAACCTGCAAACCTTTGTTATTTATTTTAGCATTGTATTTTTTAATCTTTTTTTTTTTTTTTTTTTCTTCTGTTGCCACCTTTGTATACTTTGCCTCATTTTTCAGTACTGGCAAAGTGGGTTGAAAAGAATCGTTGAAAAATCTAGAAGGTGGGAAATTTCTGTGAAAAATGAGTGAAATACATGTCAGCACATGAGCACAGCATAGCTCCAGGGAGCTTTTTCCTCTCAGAGGTGTTGTTGATACCTTAGTCACAGGGAGCAAGTGCATGAGGTGACGTTCCTGCAAGTGTTGCGTATGCACTAACTGAATCATGCTGGGTGTTCTGGGAATTTGCAACCCCCTCCTCCTTCTCCCCTGCTTCCAAATCCCACTGTGGTGCCTGTGGGCTTCAATACAGACAATTGGCCTCTGCGGACCTTCCTGTCACCTTCCCTATGGATATGGCAGTGGAAGAACCCAACAGGAAGAACTGCAGATACTTCTCAGGCAACGGGATGTGGCTGAAGACAGGCGAAAGAGGCAGCACGGACTTTGGAGAGAAGAACAGAGACCAAGAGAAGTGGTCAGTGGGAGCAGATGCTGAGAAGCTGAAGATGGCTTTGAAGAGTGATGCTGACTGTAGAAGAAATGCAGATGGGTTGGATGATGCTCCACTATCTCCTAGAGGACAGCCAGTTGGTACTGAAAGCAGGGTGAGTCTGAGTACCTAGTGTACAGCCTCAAACACCTGCTAGTGGGGGCTTTTCCCATGTAACTGCAGCTCCATAGATTTGTAGTATATTTCATGGTTTTTTTTTTTTTTGTGTGTGTGTGATTTAATACCTAAATCAAACCACAGTCTGTGCCTGGGCTTTTATAAACTGCATCTCTCTCTTCCATTGTAGCTCCAGGTGCTGGAACCTGCCAGTTGTTCCCCCGATCGTATCTTCAAAGTTGTGTTTGTGGGGAACTCTGGTGTTGGTAAGAGTTCCTTCATCCATCGCTTCTGCTATGACAGGTTCTTGGCTGATCTCAATGCAACTATCGGTAAGAAATAGGGTTCCAAACTAATCTGACTGAGAAGTTTGAGGAATTTGGTCTGGAAGGGGTTGTTTCTGTTTTCTTTCCTGTCACGTTAGCCCAGACATCTTCTAGCTCTTAACAACCCGAATGAAGGTTGAGGAGGTGATCCTCCCCTTCTACTTGACCCTGGTGAGGCCACATTTGGAGCACTGTGTCCAGTTCTGAGCTCCCTCATTCAAAAAAGACAAGGATTTCCTAGAAGGAGTCCAGTGGAGGGTCACAAAAGATGATAAAGGGCCTGGAGCATCTCCCTTACAAGGGAAGGCTGAGTAACCTGGGTCTGTTCAGCCTGGAGAAAAGAAGACTGATGGGGGATCTGATAAATGTCTATAAATATCAGATGGGAGACAAACAAATGAGTCCAGGCTCTTCTCAGTGGTGCATAGCAATAGGACAAGGAGTAATGGCCTAAAACTTGAACACAGGAAGTTTCATGCAAACACGCAGAAGAACTTCTTCACAGTAAGGGTGACAGAGCACTGGAACAGGTTGCCCGGAGAAGTTGTGGAGTCTCCTTCTATGGAAATATTCAAGACCTGTCTGTATGCCTACCTGTGTGATCTATTGTAGGGTACCTACTTTAGCAGAAGGTTGGACTTGATGATCTCTTGAGGTGCCTTCCAACTCCTGCAGTTCTGTTAAGGTGGTGCCTCCTTCAGCTTTGAGTCAATCTGGCAGTTTCCCTGCAATAGTGTTGATCTTGTTCTTGTTACCTCCCTGACAGGTATTGATTACCAGGTGAAGAGTCTGATGGTGGACAACATTCAAGTTGCATTACAGCTGTGGGATACAGCTGGACAAGAAAGGTAAACAATTATGTGAGGATTTCCTGCTGCTAGGCTCAGTGTAAGAAAGAGAAAGATGGAGCAAGGAGTGCATGCGCTTGGATATATTTCTGCTGATAGACTCATGGAAGTGATAATTCCTGGCAAAGGGGCAATGTAATTTTTGGTGGTGGCTCCTCGTTTGGAATTCTCCAGTTTCAAAAACATGGGCCATCACGAGATACTGTCGTCAGTACTGTTAGAGAAGTTCAGAGTAGCAGAGGACACATTTAGTATTCATCTACAGCACTACTAGAAATGAAATGCTCACCACAACCTCATGTAATTTATACTTCATTTATACTGTACTTTAAGCTTAGGTTCAGAGGCATTTTCTAGGAGGTTGTTAACCACAGAGCCTGGCAAAAATATGTATAAGGTATTTAATGCTAAATATGGTATGGGACCAAGCCTCGAGGAGGCAGCTGAAGTCATGGGAATATTAAAATCCTGCACTGTGCCAAGAAAGTAGGGATGCTGCCTGCCTCAGTCAGCTAGATCATACAGACTTTTGGGAAATGCACAAAGTAGCATTGCAAGGCAAACTCTTCCAAACTCCAAGTTCATACTGGAGAAATCATGATTTTTGTTTCAAAAGACTATTCTGTTGTGTTTTTAGTGCTGTAGCCAATCAGGAAGTTTTCATGACATTAAATGAGACATTTCTTTGAGACTAGGCTGCATTAGAGGCCAAACTCACTATATTTATCTCTGCAGAAGGACAGTATGCCTCTGAAATAGTAGCAGGTCTTAGATGTGTACTTGGAAGAAAGAACTTGGCTCAGTGCTGATACTGAGTAGGAAGAAACCAAAACTTTTCTTACTTCTAGAGAGATTTGAATTACTTCTAACTGGATGTGTACAACTGAATATCCTATATCAGATAGAGGATCTTCTTGTGCAGGGGAGAACTCCTTAGTGATTCCCCTGAGTCTGGCTCATGCTATATTTGACATTCTTTTCTGGAGCATGTGGCATGTCCTGTATTTCCAGAGGTGCATCCTGACTGCCAAGGATACAGTCTGTGCTTTCTCAGTTGGAGTAGCTGCCAGAATGGCACGCTCTGTGTGTAGTGAGACAGCACAGGCTTCAGGCAATCAGCTGAAGAGTTCAGGAGGGTCACTACTAGCTGCAGGTTTTCTTGGCTCTTAATAGGAGAGCTTGTTAGCCTATGCAGGGTGGAAATTCACAGCTGTCTAGTGAGATCTTGGTACTGCTGCTGTATTTATTTCCATCAGTTTGCAGGCAATATGACGACATGGCCTTACGACAAACTGCTTAGTGGTTTTAAGCTTTTTTTTGTTTGTTTTAAATTGGAATTTATTCCCAAAATACAAGTCTATAGTTCTAGCAGGAACCCACAGGACAGTGTAGATGTCTGGTGGGAGTTTCACCTGGAAATTGTTTCTAGCATCTGAATTTATGTATGACAGAATTGCTTTATAGATTTAAAATTGGGAGTGGACTGTGTTGATGCTGAGATCTTAATTGCAGTTTTAGCAGCATTGGGGCAGACATTATGCACCTAGTTTATTCTATGCTACAGCTTAATTTGTAGATTCTTCCAGACTGTAGAAAAAGCTCATGTTTTTTTCCATCCATTTCCTTTTTTACAGACGTTACCTTTTTCTACCTCACCTAAGCAGGCTATTCAGTGCTTCTTTCCTCCTGACTTAGAAAGGTCCTGCTTTCTTAGCACCATGTGTTTGGAAACGCTCCTTACTCATGGCTGCCTGGCCTGCTGCACAGATGGACTCTGAAAAGCTCAGGGTTTTAAAACTGAATTGTCATCAGTCTGTACGCCAGCTCCAAAGGATGCATCTCACGCACAGGGGCTGCCAGGCCTTGCAGGGAGCACTAGCAGCCAGATGATCATGTTCTGCTTCATGTCATTACACCATCGTGGTTCTGAGAGTGCCTTTGGTTTTGTTGGGGCTCAGGTTCCGGAGTATCACCAAGCAGTATTTCCGGAAGGCAGATGGGATTCTGGTGATGTACGACATTACGGCCGAGTGCTCCTTCATGGCAGTGCGCAACTGGATGAGCAGCGTCCAGGTGAGAGTGGGGCTTTGGCTTTCTATTGCTGGCAGAGCTGCCTGTGCCTTGCTCTGGTCTCGCTGCAACAGTCTGTCTGGGAGCAATGTTCCTGGAGGCCTCAGGAGGTCCTTGTGAAGATGGATGCAGAAAGCAGATGTTATAGTACTGCCTGTGGTAGTGTGTATGGAAGAGGGGTTTGTTGAGGGTATGATGGCAGCCCATTAAATGAGGAGGGAGTTTTATTGCAGAAAGTAGTGGAACAAGGCAAAACAGGGTATGTGGAAGTAGCTGGTTGTGTTGGCAGCATCTCCAAACAGCAGCCGTTGCACCTATGTTCAGGTGAGGAAATCTCCTGGACTATTTAGTCTGTTTGCAGTGAAGATATTTGGCCCTGGTGCATCTCGGCTCAGTTCTGCAGCATGTACAGCACTTCACACAATCGCATCCCGACTCCTTTTGAATTTTCTAGATGACACTCTAGAAACAGCTTAAACTGGAGATAGCTTAAACTAGAAATAGCTTGCTTTTTTTTTTTTTTTTTTTTTTTGCTGTAACTTCAACAGTTGATGTTTGTTTGTTTGTTTGTTCATTTTCCTTTGTTGACTGTCTATCTGTATTACAGTAATTTCCCCTGCTTTTTTTATTTCCAAATTCTAAACAAAAAACATTTTTCTGTGGCTTGTGTCTGAGACTAAAATACCTCCATATCATTTAAATATGCTGTGTACAGGTGGTTCAAAGTTGTAGGGAAAGTGTCAAGAATGGCTTTGCTTTGAGATCGTGTTGAGTGTCAAAAAGCACATCCTAAATTGAAATAATAAGCACCTATAATAACAGGTTAGAGGTTTCTAGTGCTGTAAATTTCACAGACCTGCTGGGCAAGGAAAAAAAGCTTGTCTGTTTCTCTAGACTTTAAAAGATCGAAGGTTAAGATTTTTCAAAACTAGCCTCTGGAAATCAGGCTCCTTTCAGGAGGGTTAAACTGAGCACACACACAAAAAACAAAGCACCCCCAAATCTGTAACTTCAATAATCTTTCATCCTTCATTTCCCTCATCTTAGAATTTTTCTTGCTTTGAAACCTCAGCTGTTCTGGCACTGTAATTCCTCCAGAACAGTCAAATTTGGAACCTTATTCTGCAGTCTTACTGTGATGATGCTCTAGTGGAACAGTGGGGGAGTTTCAGCTAAAATAATGGGCTCCAGGAGTTGCCTAGGGATGACAGTACAGAGACCCTATGTCAGCATTGAAAGCTGCTTAGCCACTTACAGCACTTTTCAGAAAGTGATGTTTGAGTTTAGGATAGCACATCAGGTGAACAGTATCACATACACACCAAAAAAGTTTTAACTGAAGAAGTCCTGTCTAGTCTTCAATGTAGTTTGTCCCATTAAACTGTTGGACTTTTCTTTTGTCTTCTTATTTCCCAGAGAAGAACTTCTTCCCGGCCTTTCCTCTCTCAGCATCCCAGCTGTACACACCAACCACTTGAAATATATCCCCATGGTTTAAGTTTCCTTCCACAAATCCCTAGGGCTGCTTGAGGAATGGCCCTTTAGTGAGCTTAAAAGGCATTCTTTGGCAGCTCCTTCAGGAGCCCTAATTCTGCTGCCACTGAAGTCAGTGGTAGTGCTCTTGTTTTGTGTGATCTGGAGCAGGACCTGCTCCAAGATATTTCTATCCCTCAGCTGAGTCTCTAGGGTGTTTTGCTCTGTTTCTTTTGCAGGAGGGCATTGAGGATGGAGCTGTGGTTTTTCTGCTTGGAAATAAAATGGATACCACAGGGAGAGAGACTCGGAGTGTACCCAAGGTGGAGGGAGAAAGGCTGGCGAAGGTGTGCCACTGTGCTCTCCTGCTCCACTTGCTCTACAGCTCCTCCCTCCAGCTGTGAGCTGGACTGGTGGAGAGCTCTTCTTGAAGCCATGTCCCAGTATGGTACCTTCCCTCTCAGCCCTCACCCTGATACAAACACGTACCAATGTTCCTCTGGTACCTGCTCTGCCTTCTCCCTTGCCACCTCTATTTGTGTGCCTGCTGCTACCTTTATCCTCTCATTCCCGGGGGCCCTGTGTGGAAAGGGACAAACAGGGTTTCAGAGCTTTTCCCCATCTTTTGGACTTTGCACTACAAAGGTAAGGCAGTCCACTTATCCCAAAGGGATGGTGTTTCTTCCTAAGCACCTCCCACTTGTTACCTTCCGGACACTCTGTCTGGGCCTTCAGTAGCTAAAAATGTGTCTCATGTTCTGGCAAGGTGGGTACAGCAGTAGCAGCTACATTGCTGGCCCCATGTGCTGCCAGCAGAGTTTCTGGTGGCAAGGTGGGTCAGTGCCCAGAGGTGTGGATGAATGCTGGGGGAGAGTTGGCAGCTGACATTGGTGCTTGCTGTGTTCTTTGGCAGGAATACAAGGCTGTCTTCTATGAGTGCAGCGCTATGACTGGCTACAACATCATGGAGCCCATGCTGCACATGGCCAGGTTAGTGATGGGAATAGTCATTCTGGGGTATTTCCCCAGCTGTAGATCACTGGTGGGCACTTCTAGGGAATGGGCAAGAAGAAGTGCTGTCAGAGGCTGACTTTCTGCTGTGTCAGTAAAAAGACATGGAGCAATAGGTTCTTCCCCACTGACTCCAGGGGCCTTCTGTCTTCTGTGTCTAGAGTACCAAGCATAGACTGGATGTCACAACACGCAGATCTTCCTCTGGCAGAGCTGGCTGCTGAAAGATCAAGAGTTTAAGTGGAATATTTCATCACAAAACTTTGTGTGATATCCCAAATTTAACTTGGTGTGCTATCCCAAATTCTAAGTTGGTGTTTTCAATATGAAATCTACATGCATCTCTAGGGAGTGGTTCATCCATACAGAATGTGATGTTTTGGAAGTAGTGTTTTTATTACTAAGGACAAGGAAGGATAAAACACATTATAAAGCTGAAGGAAGTTTGCATTGTGATCTTTAGTTTTTTCAAAAGAACTTGCATATTTATTTTTTTTTTAAAGTCTTTGAAGTCCTGTAAGAAAAATACCCTTTTGTTTTCCTTTATCCCTTCCCCTCCTGCTGTATCACCTCTGTTAAGCTCACAGCAGGACTTAAATGTTTATTAACTGTGATGATTTAAGTAGATAAATCTTGCCTCCCATAGCACATGCTTTCAGCATATTTTATTACCATGCTGCTGCCAGGTGCTGCCCAGAGAAATGAAGTGAGCAGCCTGAGATTCTACCATCAGTGCAGGAGCTTGGAAGCAAGTTACATGCCACTTGTTCAATCCGGTGTTCTGACTACACCATGCTGCCCCCTCTTGTCCATGTTCAGTTCCTTTCTGTTTCCTTGGAAATTCATGCTCATTTTCTGTGTGGTTTATCTTGTCCAGCTCCCAGACACAGCCCAGTCGCTTTTTACAATCCTAAACAGCCCTGGCTGATGGGAGAGCAAAGGGCACAGTCAGATGCCAGTGCAGGAAGAGTTGAGTAGTTCAGTTTTGTTCTTGATCTGTGCTGCTTGTTCCAGGTTGCTGACAGCACAAGAAGACAGGCAGAGGGAGAATGCCCTGCAGCTGGAAGATGTCAGGAGGAAAGGGTGCTGCACATAAGGAACATCAGTATCTCAGCAAGAGCCAAGGGTCAGCACCGTTGGAATTCCTTCTCAGCAAGTTGAATCTGATGGTATCATGTCTGCAGAGATTTAGGGAATCTGCAACTTTTTCCCATCTGGGAATTTCAAGGCACTCAATCAGGGCAGAATGTGCATATGATCTGTACTGTTCCCTTTCCCACCTGCATGTCCAGCCCTGATTATAGGAGGCCTCTGATCTCTTGGGGGAATTTGGCAGGCCTTAGCAAATGGCACAGACTTGGTCCTCTGTCCAGAGGCATCATTTCCATGTAAAATGATGAAGTCTTGCTCCTTTAGTTTCTGGCAAAAAGGTTGTCTTGCAGCAGAGGGGAGGACACAGAGGGTGTTAAATCGATTATTTTAGTATAAGAAATAAAGAGATGATTTTAAATTTCGGCTAACTCTAGGTAGTGAATCTTTCTCTCACTAAGAGCAGGATTTTCTTGGCTCTATAACAGCAAAGCCCAGCTGACAGCTTGCTGTGGTAGATAGGGAAGCCTTTGCCTGTTCTTCTAAGATCTGAATCAGGCTCTGCACTTGGTTGGAAATCTGGTTTGACTGGCCAACACTGTAGATAACTGCTTCCATATGTGGATATAGCATGAACTGCTAAAACCATTCATCCCACTGGCTTTCTTCACTGTGCTACCCTAACGAACTTCGCTACTCTCCTTCTTGTACTGTTCACAGAACACAGAGCAGTTGCCCTGGGACTCGCAGGCGACTGCTGCGCTGGTACGTGCTGCTGTTCCATAACCTGTTGTGGGAGCTGTGCTGTATCTACTGGGAGCCATGTATAGCCTGTTCTAAGGCTGAATGCTGCCTGCTTCCTCCCATTCTTTTATTCTTTCCTGAAAGGTCTTCAGCAGTTAGGAGTGCACATATCCGCAGTACTGAAATGTGCCCAGATTCCACCCCGTTGGCCTGACAGCAGTGCTTTGAAATGTACTTGGGCTGGAAGCACGAGGCAGCTGCCTCAGCTGCAACGGGTACATAGTGAAATTTTTGCTTTCACAGTGACCTTGTGCATTAACCTCAATTTCCTTATGAAGGGCCTCAGCAAGAGAAGGGCTGCACCTATTCCTGTTAAGAAGGAGCTTGTTTTCCACCATGGAGTGGTGCAAAGCAGAATGAGAAGACATGATGGCTGAGGTAGGAACTGGCCCCACAAGCATCTCTCTCAGCTGCCTTGGCTCTGAGTAGCTGCTACTGTGCCTGGGTGTGAAGAGCCTTTCTTCCTCTGTTTTGTAGCTCAGTTGTTTTTAAAGCTTTGTGGCTTTCTCCTTGAGCCCATTTCTTTATGTGTCTTTGAAATCTTGGGCACAATATGTGATACTGCAGCTAGGAAACAGTTCTCCAACCCTCAGCATAGGCAAGGCCTGTATTTATCACCTCCTTCCTCTCATGGGATAAGGCAATTACTCTGGCTCCAAATATCTGTTTGCTGCACAAATTTCTCTGGGAATATTCCATGCAGGAAAAGTGATCTGAGTCACCTACTGCATTACACAGTCTTTCCATGGTTCCTCCCAGTGCCATTTACTTCTAGTGGGAAAGAGGAAGATTCTCTTCGGAAGAGCCAGGTTCCTGACTTAAAGAAATAGCCCAAAGTACTAAGTGTCTGCTCAGTCCTTACTGCTGTGGTTCTTGCTATTGTACAGCTGGTGAATTTAACTGCACAAACTGACCAGGAAGCCGTACATTAGAAGAGGTCCTGAAGAAACTAGGGCTTCTGGTTTTGAGCTTAGGTAACACCAGCAGCGCTTCCAGTGGAACTGCTAATGTTTGCAAGAAAGGATGTTTGTGAAGTGAAATCTCTGTTCTTGGAAAACATAAAACTTTAGACTGCCTTGTACCAGATGACTGTCCAAATGCAGATGTGGATTTTGTGCATTCTAACCAATGTGGCCATGGAGGAGTACAGACACTGTCACCTGCTAAGTCACTAAAATTCACTAGCTGAGTTGGAGGAGCTGCTGTCAACGATTCATTTGCATCGTGCTCCAGTTGTAGGTTAATAAGAACTGGCAATAAGAATTGACATCTTCAGTGGGCACATCAATAACACCAAAATTTACTTACCTGCAACAGCATGCTGGGCAGGATTTTGGAAGCTGCAGCAGAAGAAAAGTATGGTATCCAATCTGCTAATATGGTTTGAATGTGCAGCTCCCACACTGTGTAAAAAGCACATGAAAGATAAAGGAGTAAAGTATACCTGGCACACACGTACCATGCAGCATGTGGTAATTACCTTCCTCAGCACTGTCATACTGCAACAGGAAGAACTACCACGTGTTTGTTTTTTGTTTGTTTTTGGTTGGTTGGTTGTTCTTAATGTACAGTCTTAAGGATGTTTTCTTAGCGGGCAAGCAGGGTGCAGGCAATAAAGAAATACTGTCTTGCAAATGTTTGTGTTGAGTTTTTTTTCAGGAGTTGCAAGAGATTCAGCCTCACTTGATTTAGTTGCCTGCTGCAGCATGTAGTGCTCAGGAAGGGTTGAGAAGTGTGTTCCTGGTGGGGATATGTATAGGAGACTTGTAAGTAATAAGCAAGGAGTGAGTGGATGAGAAACCCTTGTTTCCAGAGAAGCACAGGAGCAATTCATCTGCTGTCTTATTTTTTCTCTTTAAAACAGCCAGAGTCTGAGTCTGGATGATCAGGGAAGGCAGAGCAGGGGGAATTAAGGAGATGCTTCCCCAGAGTCTGGGGCCAGCGTAGAGCTTTCAAACATGGCACATTGTTTCCTTGTATCTATGCTTGTAGAACCAGACATATTTAATAACGCTCATGCATCCTGTTCACCAGAGTTAGGAATTTCATAGCTCTTAGACCTTGTACCCTATATTTATTTCAACATGTCAGTGTCTTACAGAAGTATCTATCCATAGCTCTGGCCACAGAAATTATTACTCATTTCCCTTGCTATAAACAAACAACACAGGAAGTAGTGCACTGTAACTTTTTTTAGCAGGAACAGGGTGAACTTTTGTTTTGCCTATGATAAAGTGGCACAGAGGTTGGACAGCAGTAAGCACTAGGGTGTGTTTTATACTGGATGGTGCAATGGTGTTTTGTTGGTTTCCTGGACAGTATTTACATTTCCTATTGGAAGACCTAGACACTCACAACTGAAGAAGCAGAAGAACCCTTGACTCTGTGTATCCACTCCTTTGTAATAACTAAAACATTGGTGTGCAATCACTGCTATTTTCATGAAATAAGTCCAAAACACAGCACCATACCAGCTACTATGAAGACAATTAATGAGATTCCAGCCAAAACCAAGACAGTGTGAGAATTTCTCCTGTTGCTGAATGGAGATCCTGGGAGAAGCCACACTCTTCGAGTGACTGTTGGCAAGCCCAATATAAGCAAAAAGCAAATAACAGGGACATCCTGAGGTGGTATGAGATAATGGATGAAAAACTGACTGGCTGAGAGCTTATTGCAGCACTGCATTGGCTGCAGTCTCTGAGTGGACAGGTGACTTTTTGCACATAATCTATAAAGCATTTTGGAAATGTATCACAAGAAAGTACACTTCTTACGGCCTGGAAGCTTATGCTGGCCCATGCAGCAGTGCAGCTGTGTATACAATTGGGCTAAGAGCAAAGAAGAAAAAAAACAGCTGCTCTGACAAGCCCCCACAGTCCCATAAAGTTCTTGCATGCAGGCAAGGGGACCCTGCTTTGCCTTGCGTTTCACTCATCTCTTTCATGTTAATATGCTAAGGATAAACATAACAGGATTAGCCTGACAGCATCTCTTTGGCAGGCCAAAATAGGGATGAAGAGAGAGCATTAAGCCGTGGTGCTAAGTTTAAAGCTTTCCCATGGGACAAATGAAGGAATCACGAAAGGCCTTGGATGTTTGTTTGTTTTTACCTATGACTGTGATAGGTGAGACAGGGGGGTAAAGCTCAGGGAATGATAAATAGCATTGCTAGAAAACCCCTGTAAGAGGACAGATGAGGATCTTGATTCTCTGCTGTTTTAACACTGTCACTTCTACTTGAGCGTGTTGGAGACATGACAGCATTTTCCACTCATCTCATGTGCTGCGTTCTTGGGGCTGGAGGCTCAGTGGTGTTGACCCAGAGTGCCTGGAAAGAAACTGGGCAATGCAGGACCCCACTTGCAAAGGTTCATCATCAATCAGTGATAAAGCACACGCACCCAGCTTTTGGCTGTGGCTTTATGGAGTGCCTTTGCTCTTTCCAGGCAAGCTTGTTCCTGAGGTGCTGCTCATAGGAATTTCACAACTGCATAGTGGCTCACCAGTTGCCCTAGAGCCACTTTATTCCAGCAGCTTAAACTCCAAGAGATCCATCCACAGACATTTAATCAGTCCCTTTGGGTCTCTCCTGGATTATTTTCTCTTCTGTCACCCTCTACTGTTAATATATTTTCTCTCTTTTTGCTTATTAATTACTTAGTCCTTATATAAAACAAATACTTCATGTCTGGATATAGATGTATCTTGGAACTCATGCTATGTACCTTTAAATACTTCATTTGAAAATCTCTTGGCTCCAGTAGATCCACTGTACTGCAGCTCAGTGCTTTGGTAGTTCGTTGAGCTGCTGTCAGTCTGCTCATTACTTATCTGCCTGTTAATGAGCCATGCTGAAATTTCAGTTGGTGCAGCTACAATAATCTGGCTCCAGATTCCTCGAGCCCCTGAGGCACGCTTTAAACATCTCAAGCCAAGCAGTTTAATATGGCCTGATTTTGTGAGCAGAAGATTAGCTGCATGCTTCTTTAGAAGTGACTAGGCCACAGTAGAACTGGCCAGATAAAATTAGTTGTTTTTTGAGATAAAGATATATCCAATTAATCGTTTACAGAGGTTGCATTTGTGCAGTTCTGGGCAGAGGTGGTGGTGACGGCTCCTACAGGTGAGCACTGAAACAGCAAAGTGTTGCAGTGTAAATCCCTGCATGACACAACCGTGCTACTGGACTCCTGCATATTCCTGAGGGACTGGGGGGAAAGGGGACACTGTGGTATAGCTCACGATTATCTGCAGGCTTTCCTTTTTCTTGCCCTGCCCAGCTCTGTGTGAAGTGGGCTGTTGTCTGCTGATTTTGGTCTAACACAGCCCCTGTTCTTTGAACGCGCCCCTTCCCTCTGACTCACTGCAAACCGGATGATGGTGAACATCATCAGAGCAAAAGTGCTGAGAAGTGAGTCTCTCCTAGCAGTCCATACAGAACTACTTAGGCTGTCCATCTTGGTCTGTTGCCTTAAAGAGTGTGGTATCCATTGAATAATTGAATACTCACTGAAAAAAAGGTGAAGAAGAGGGGGCTCAGGGGAGACCTTATCTCTCTCTCTACAGTGACCTGAAAGGAGGTTGTGGCGTGGTGGGGGTCAGCCTCTTCTCCCAGGAACAGTGATAGGATGATATGGGGAGGTTCAGGTTGGATATTAGGAAAAAATTCTTAGAAAAAGCGGTGGGGCAGTGGCACAGGCTGCTCAGGGAGGTGGTGCAATCACCATCCCTGGACGTGTACAAGGGAAGGGTAGATGTGGCACTGAGGGATGAGGTCAGTGGGCATGGTGGGGTGGGCTGGGAGTTGGGCTTGGTCATCTTAGAAGTCTTTTCCAACAGGAATGATTCTATGAAGTGACTGGGTACATGGGACCCTAGTTAAGGCACAGTAGAGGCCAACAACCAGTAGGCCCTCAACTGGCCTTTTCCGTCTCTCCCTGCTCAGCTCTCATCCCTTCCCAGCCAGCCCTAAGAAACTGAGACCGCTCAGTCTCTGAGGGGAGCAGGTGGGGTTTCCCTTCCTGCAGATCCCAGCGGGCTGCTAACTGCGGTAGTTGGACCGAAGTTGAAATGAGGTAATGGAAGGATGAGGCAATGTGCCAGTCAGGGCTTGATCTCAATGTGCAGGATGTCTCCTGGAAAGATCTTTAACCAGCAGCTCTGACGCCTCTAAAAAGGGAAAGGCTTGGAAAAAGAAGAGCTCGTGTTCTTCACAACGTGGTGCCTGCGGCCATGGGAACGGCGGGTGAGGTAAAGGCGGCGGGAGGCAGAGGTCGCTGCCGCAGGGCGCGCTTTCGCGCTTGCACAGCGCGCCGAGACCGCGCCGCAGGCACTGCAGGTGGACGGAAATCGGGGTGCTTTGTTTTACAAAAAAATTATTTTATTTTATTCTATTTTCCAAAGCCGAAGGGGCTCCGACAACACACGCCGGCCGCCGGGCGGACTGTACGTGAGGGCTCGCTGCCGAGGCACCGCCCGCTGGGCGTCCCGGGGCTGGGCCGGGCCGGGCGAGCCGTGCCGCCCTCCTCCCCTCCCTCCCCGCTTCCTGCCGTGCTCCCTTCCCTCCCTCCCTCCCTCTCCGCTCGGCAGGTCGGGGCGCGAGGCGGCGCGGAGCACGGCGGTCCGGCGCGGTGCCGTTGAGGGGTGAGGCGGGGCGCCCCGAAATGGCGGACGCACGGGGTGTGAGGGGGGAGCGGCGCGCGGGGCTCCCCGCGGCCGGTAGCGCTGTGTGGCGCGGGGCGGGAAGCGGCGAGGGGGCAGCGCGTGGGGGCTGCCGGCCGGGAGGCGGCGTGTGCGTGCGTGTTTGTGTGTATTTGTGTGTTTGTGTGTATTTGTGTGTGCGTGGTGCCCGGGGTGTCCGAGGGCCGACTCTGTTCTTTCCCCTTGAAAGGTGTTTTTCTTGTCCTGCCCCTACTTCAACTTGTAGGGCTGCTAGAGGCAGAGGATGGGGAGAGTGGGGCCGGGTAGGAGTCCGGGCGATGTCCCGCTGCCTTCACGTGGAGCTGGGTCAGTGCTGCGCTGTGTGTCCCTCGCCGTGAGTGCTCTCCCGGTAGTTTCTGCTGTGTTGTCTTACAAAGACTGCAAACTGCTGTACGTTTAACAACAAAGTAAAATCTGGTTCTTCTCAAGGACGTCCATGATCAACCTGTTGCGGTGTCCTGCTGTATCTTGACGACCCCTAGAAGCTTACGCTTGCCCAGAGCATCCCTCGAAGCGCCCCTCCCTCATGTCCCTCACGCGCTGCCTTTCTTTCTGTGAGAGCTCCAGCGGTGTCTGCTAGAACAGGGGGTCAGTAAATGTCATCACACACCAGAGGTGGTGCCCAGGGGCTGCCATTTTCTTGAACCAGTTTTGAAGCACGGCCCTTTTTCAAAAGATGTTTCAGTTGCCCTGGGTGAGGCTGTTGCCTAGACTCTTAAGGGATCTTTGGTGCTATAGATGCTGTCTGGGTGTTGCTGGGGCTGGAGAGTCTCAGGCAAATGTCCTTCCCCATCTGCTTGACTGCTATTGCTATCAAACGATGATTGCTTGAGATGAGGAGAGCATAGCGTGGCTCTTTTGAGCTGTTACAGGCTGAAATGAAGAGGAAAAGAACTGTTTCAGATATGTCTCAGCACTGAGCAAGCTTGGTC